TTAAAAACGAATGGATGCAAATTTACACAGACTATTAAAATAAAAATAGTTTAGTGATAGTTTTTTAGATTAAAGTCTTTGATTTTACTGGTATTTTGATTGACTCTCAAACCTTTCTACAAATACATTATTTGAAATATTTAATAATATAAGGTAGCCTACTTTTGCGTCCATTTGTTTTTCTTTTTTTAACCCGTAATTGAAAAACTAAAAATGAAAGGTTGTTGTATTTTTAAAAGCCAAAGTTGAACACCAAAATTTGAACTGTAGGCTACACAAATGCTGCAAAAAAAAGAGACTTTTTGCCCCTTTATTAAACATTTAAAATATTCACAAATTACTATGGGACAAATGTCGATTTTACTGGTTTTCTAAGGCCAGATTAGAACCTGGAAATTTTGTTTTTCCCGCAATGCTGAATGAGAAGAGCCATGTCTCTGGAACCATGATTTATAGGCTAATGATAATAAATGTGTCTGAATTTTAATTGTTAATTAAACTTTTAAATAAATAAACAATTTTTAATTGTTAATTAAACTTTTAAATAAATAAACAATTAATTAAATTATTTGTCAATTTAATTGTTAATTAAAACGAGGCATTTTAATTGTTCGTTTAAAAGTGAACATTTCAAGCTTTAGGCTAGGTAGATTTTGTTTCAGTTCATTTATGAGACGTCTCAAAATTTACTACAAAGTACGCGCTCCAGTTCACGGAGATCATGAAAGCGCGACTGATTGTTTTATTTTATTTTACAAAAGCACAAAGTTTTCTTGTTATGTGAGTTTGGACAAATAAAAGTAGTTGCGAATGATGTATTATTCTTTTCTGTATGACCAGAAATTATAGAGAGTGTTTTTTAAGTTGTTTCCACTGTTGATGGGAAAATGCAAGTGTTCGCGGCCGCGCCTCCGTGCCATGCGGTGCGCGCTCACACTCCCACACACATTTGCGTCAAAATCTTGTGTTTATTTGTGATAATCTTAGCCCTGTATTATGACTGACATTTGACGAATTTCTTTGTTCCTTTTTTTGATAAAAGCGCCTTCTAAATATGTAGCCTAAATGTAGGCTAATAATAATAATATTATTATCATTTGCGTTGAGTTCACTGAAGACAGTAATATGTTAATCATAAAATAATTTATGAATGTTTTATTTTTATATAACCTAACCTTGTGTTTGTGTTATATTTCTTTTTTATATGTGAAGTCTTTTTTTGCTTATTCTATTATACTGAGCTTTTTCCTCCTAAAAAAATGACTTTAAAGACAAGTGGCCTAAATGTCGTTTAGAAAATTCATGTATTTAACATCCTCAGTAAAATATAAAACATAAAAATGACAATAGCCAATTCTGGCTCCATAGCTGTTTACTCAATTATAACAAATTAATCATCAGGATGGCAGCTCCGTCTCGCACTGTTGCTTGGCGCCATGGGCCGGTAATCGGGAACACCTGGATGCGCAATTAGGAAATCCTATGAAGGCTACAAGGTGCGTCCTTCGAAGGACGAATAGGGACACAGCTACTATTTAGTCAGATTAATGTACTGTTGTCTTGCGCGGCTGTGAGGAATAATCCTGGGACATTTACCTACCTCAGAACAAGTGCTGGTTTATTTTCACTTCGAGGAGCGAGCTGAACTGTAAGTGTTTTATTCTTGTGCTTTGTTCTAATCGCGATATATAATAACGTTAGTGTCTGTAAACGCAAAAATAGCCTACTGTTTAAATTTGAATCATGTTTCTGTGTGTGTGTGTGTGTGTGTGTGTGTGACTAGTTTTGCATAGATTATAAAGTTTTAACTCCAAAATAGACATCAAATAAGCTTTTGTTAGCAGTTTCTGCTCATATGTTAAATATATAGTATGTTTTGTCAACTAATCAACTAAGATGTTATAGGCTAGCGTTTGTTCCAATGCAATCTATATCAAAATAATGAATCCTTAACTCTGAAATATGTTTGATAAAATGTATATGTCCTACTAAGACAGTTATGGAAAAAGACAATTTTCTTTTCAAGATGTTTCCAACTCTAACTTTGAACCAATTCTGTAGAATGGCCCATATAACCTATTTGAACAGGATTTGTTTCCAGGTATGACTAAAAATGTGCTTTTGACTTTCATTTATATTTTGATTTTATATATATATATTAGGGGTGGAACGGTACATGTATTCGTTTCGAACCGAGACGGTACGGGCGTCACGGTTCGGTGCACGAATTTGCACGGAGAATACACGGTACAAAAAAAACCTCTTAAATAGCGATAAATTTCGCTTTATTCGCTTTTGGTGTGACTGTGAACGCAGCAATGAACAGGCTGCGATCAAGATTGCAAAGCTGGAGTGTGTGTGTGTGTGTGTGTGCGAGAGAGAGAGAGAGAGAGAGAGAGGCGCGATTAACAGTATGTGTGTGTGTGCGCGCGCGCGTGTGGGAGAGAGAGAGAGAGAGAGAGAGAGGCGCGGGCGCGAATCGCGTGATCGAACAGTGTGTGTGTGTGTGTGTGCGCGCGCGCGCGTGCGAGAGAGAGAATGATCTCTCCTGCGCGATCGAACAGTGGAAACATAAAAACATACTCATACTCATAGTCATTTTTTTTATACAGGACATCATTAAAACTGCAAATTGTTACTTATATTTGTGTACACTCGCAATAAAACACTACATTGTGCTTTTGTCAGACTCTAAACTCTTGTCGAACTGTAACCTACAACTGTTAACAAAAGTTTTGAATGGTAGTATTATTTTATACGGAAATCAACTATTTATAATTCAGATGAGAATAAAGTTAGGGTTAACTAAAATGAAGGAAAACAAATATATTGATCTGAAATAGCAAATTAATTTTAAATTCATTCAGGTACAATTACCAAACTGGGTCTGGGTACTCAAGGTCTTTTCATCGTTTTAATAATTTAATTAATAAACTAATTATATAAAACTATTGTCAGTGCACTACAAATAAACTGGTTCTATGCCTTTATTAATAAAACTTATTTAAAAAATACAAGGCTTAAGACATTTATAAAAATGCCTTCTGCATTTTTGTTTTGCTTTTCACTCCATTGTACCGAAATCATACCGAACCGTGACGTCTGAACCGAGGTATGAACCGAACCGTAACTTCTGTGTACCGTTCCACCCCTAATATATATATATATATATATATAGTATATATATATATATATATATATATATATATATATATATGTGTGTGTATGAATGTGTGTGTGTGTGTGTGTATATTGTCCTTGCATTCTTTCTTGTGTGACAAACCTGAATGAAAGGCTCATTAATATGCGGGTCGTCTTTGTCTTCTCAACCACCTAATTATTCACAATGGGGTTGGGCCGTTCACGCCCATTCGCATATTGCCTTGGATAACAAAAAAATGTTTTTCACAATTTAAAAGAATCTATTGTGTTATGTGAATAATTAGACAGGATGATTTTCACATCATTTTGAAGCCAGAACTCGAAGCGACAACATCCATTAGTCAAAAGTCTTGTGGACACATATTTAGTATGTGTTTTGTGGTCTTATTTCAGCAACTTTCATTTTTATTTTTTTCAATAACCACGCATAAACATTATTCTCTTAAAAATGCAAACATGTACATACATGTTGCTCACATATTATGGTAGCCCCGTTTGTGCTATATAGAGTGAATTTACACCTTTGCCATTAACATGTTTATAAATAACTGAAAAAAGCACAAATGTCAGTGCATGTCAAAACATCCCAAGGGCCCCAAAAACACCTTGGTCCCCAGAGGGTTAAATTCTACCTGTTAACTCTGCCCTGAACGCCCCGACTTAATAACAGCCTATTACAATGAACAGAAAAAAACCCAATTTACCTAAGGCCCCGTTCACACTGCAGGCTAAAGTGGCCCAAATCCGATTTTTTTGGGGTCAAGTGACCAGGTCAGACTCCTTCAGAGATAGTGTGAACACTCAAATCTTGCCCAGATCCGATTTTTTTAAATCAGATTTAGACCACATACATATGTGGTCCTGAATCAGATCTATATCTGATTTTTTTTAATGCGTCCGCAGTGTGAACATCCAAGGCGGATTTGATGCGACTTTTACGTCAATCAACATCGACATTTGTCACATGCGTCGGCGTGTTAGCAACAGACACAACAGACACAGACACAGACAGTATTAAAAAATTGCCTAGATATGGATAACAGTGATGGAGCGAGTCAGTGGAGGGACAGTGAGGTATTAGACCTAATTAATATATGGGGAGATACCTCTATTCAAGCGAAATTAGAAGGGTCCTACCGTAACCGCTCTGTTTTTGAAAAGATAGCACACGAAATGGAGGAACGGGGACACAGGAGAACGTGGCTGCAGTGCCAAAGGAAGGTTAAGAGTCTTAAGAGTAAATTTAAAGAAGCAAATGATTCTAACAACCGAAGCGGTCGTGGTCGCATCACCTGCCCATTTTACAACGAGATTAGCCGTGTTATGGGCGATAAACCCAGCTGTCAGCCGTTGGAGCTGCTGGATAGCTACGAAGCAGGTGAAGAGGAGCCTGAAACTCCGAGGAGTTCAGCAGACAGCCTGGATATAGATGTCGAAACAGGTACGTTTTCAGTCTTGACATACATAGCCTAGGCATATACTGTAGAAAAAGACTAGAAAGTTGAGGTGTTTGTTATAGGAAAATTATGTTCACAGAATAAACAAGCCAGTCAGCTGCGCACAGTTTTCTTTGCACAACTCAGAAAACCCACCAGAGAAGCAGAGTACCCTTTACTGTCGCTCCAAAATACTCATGAAAGTGCGTATCTATACCACAAATTTAATTTCTCGTAGGCTACCATTTAAACGCAAAAAATGTTGTTGTTGTTTTTTTCGTGCATATGCTACACACTGTAAATCCCTAGGTTAGGATTAGGGGTGTGGAGTGCGTGCATACACGCAATTAAGTGCGTATGCACGCGAAAAATGCGTAGGATATAAACGCAAAAACCGATACATTTAATTCCTGAAATAGATACGCACTTTCATAAGATCGGGCTCGTCATTCAGAAATGTTACTCAGTCTACGATCTGATGAAGTGCACTGGTAACCTGGCTCTGCAGAACCAAATCCCATATTATAACCTAACATATAAGGAGGGGGGCTAGCTACCATGTTATCATCATCTTCTCAGGGTAACGTGTGTGTTGAGGGTGTTATGTAAATTGGTAACGTGAACCAGCTCATAATATTTGTATTGAATACATCACATTATAGCATGATATGTTTGCTTTCACCAGATGATACAAGCACAGAGTCACTCCCATCTGCATCTTCTGTGTCTTCTGCACCTTCTGCACCATCTACATCTGGAGAAAGCTCATCAGCTGCAGGCATTACAGAGACCACTGGAAGAAGCACAACAGCCAGCAAGTCCTCTGGAAGTAAGATTCATCATGTTTTTATCAGGTTGTTGCTAACTCATTAGTAGAGTATTCACATAGCTAACCCATCCATTGCTATTTTTGTATTCTGTTATTACTGTACTGTACTGTATTACTGCTAAGTTTTTACTTATACTCATGTCTACCCTCCAAGCCTAACTGATTATTTTTTTAATTGTGATACAATGGCCAAACACTTTCTCCTCTTTCTTACAGCTACATCTGCCAAGAGCAGGAAAAGGAAGACCAAGATGGAAGCAACACTGGAAATCTTCACTGAAAAGATCAGCAGTGCCCTCAACAACACAGACGACACTGAGCTTCAATTGAAAATGCAAGCAGCACAGCATGAGCATGAGCTCAAAATGCTCTCAATGTTCACACAGTTTCTTGCCAGATCAAATTCCCCATGTCCACCTTTCTACCAGGCACCAGTCCAGCCCTCACAGTACAACCCAAGACAACTGCCGCCTCAGCCTACCTTTTACAACTTTACTCAGCCCCCGAAATTTAGCATGGGTTCACCTCAGCCTCCACCATGTAACGAGACAACCAACCAGCCTCTATCTTTTCTGCAAGATCTGGCTCAACCTTTCAACCATCCCCCTGCACATCCTCCAGATATACCTCACTCCTTCAGCCAGGTGTCAGCACACCCTCAAGGTCCAGCTCAGCAGCCCTTCAACCAGGCCTCAGGGCATCCACCATTCTACCGACCTCCAGATGACCAGGAAAAGTAAATCAAATCACAATATAGTGAATTGCTTTCAGTATTGTTGGTCAATCTATGCAAAGTCTATCCATCAAAAAATTTGATTTAAATGTGCTTTAGAAATAAAGTTTGTATCATTATACAGGTTAATTACAGTTCAGAATATATTTGACAGTTTGATTTCAGGTTACAGTTAGAACGTTATGTAGTGTTATTAAACCGACAGAAACTTGCACTATAGCATAATCATTTTATTTTGAACATGAACATTTTCAGAGTAATTATTCAAAGTACAACATTGTAGTTAGCAGGTTTTCTTATTTTTTAGCTGAGAAAAATTCTTGTGTGGAAAATATTTTTGACGATTTTTATAGGGATTATTTGTTTACATACACCTGCACAACTAATTTTACAGGGATGCATTTCATTTTTATTTATTTTTTCAGAACAAAACTGACCATGTCATCATTAGTATTGAAAAAAAAAATTGTTACTCCACACTTTCAGAATGTTATGTTTAAACATTGTCAATTAAAGTTTCTTTTGTGAATCAGCGTTGGCTGTAAAAAAACTCTGTTAGTGCCTCTCTGACTCTTGTTGGCTCAGCAGCATCTTGTGCCTCTCCTTCTGCTATCCTGATGTCCTGAAGAATAGTTTGAGCAGGTCCCTCATAGGCCTCACCATGCTTCTCACACACATTGTGAGCATGCACTTATGATGGTAGGGACAGTGGAGATGTCCACATCCAGCCGTTTCCCAAGGCATCTCCACCGCCCCTTCAATCGGCCAAATGCACATTCCACAGTCACCCTGGCTTTGCTGTGTCGCTCGTTAAAGTACCGTTGCTGCTCTGTGAGGTTTCCTGTGTCAGCGTACCCTTTAATAAGCCAGCTCCGCATGGGGTACGCCGGGTCACCAAGTAGCATGATCGGTACTTGGACACCGTTGATCTCCACTGTGTCCTTAGGCAATGGAAAATAAGAGAAGTTTAATTTATTACATGTTATAATATGTTTCTCTAAACATTTTAATCTCCTTTATACTAAAATGGTACTGTTTCCAAATAGGATTTGTGTGTGTACATGATTGTGATAGAACAACTTACTGGTGGAAAAAGCTCCCCTCTCTCTGCCAATGCAAAGACACAGGAATTCCTAAGAACCCTGGCGTCATGGACACTTCCAGGCCATCCCGTGTAGATGTTGGTGAAACTGTTATGGGGACATGTGATGTGTTATTTTATAATTTTGTCCATGTAAAGCATTATGAAAAGGAACACAAATCAGTTATTATTGTACTGTGAAACATTTAAATATAGGCTAAGTTTGAAATGATCAGTAGGGGATTGCAAAACAAAACAGACAGATGGTTACTGTAAACATAAAGGGGCTATCATATTTTAATATCAACAAGCCATACTATGGCAAACCGTTGTAACATTTAATAATTTAAACCTACTAGTCTAAATTTTAATGCCACTATAAGTACTTATTTTTTAGATACTAGTAGCCTATCTATTCCATTAAGTACTAGTACGTATTTATTTAGCTAATGAATAAGTACTAGTACTTAATGGAATAGATATTAGTATCTAAAAATTATGTGTTATCAAGAAAATAGAGACTAGTAGGATTAAATTATATAATGGCCATAGCCATACCACATAATTGTATCACAAGGCAGCATTATTTAACTATTTTATAAACCTAAATCAGACTTTTCACTCAATGACGGCTAGCAGTATAGTAAAGTAAGAAAAAATTCCAGAAGCGATTATTTCATAATTATAGCAGGCTTACCAGAACTGATGATCTACAACTCCCTGTAGAAGGACAGAATGCCATCCTTTGCGATTGAAGTAGTCGACGTGATTTTCTTCTGGGGCAATGATGGGGATATGACTCCCGTCAATTGCTCCAGCGCACTGTGGAAAACCACACCTCATTTGAAAGCCTCGTACGACCTCCCGGAGCGCATCTCCTTCGGGCAGTTGTATGAACTCGGGCATGAGGACTTGGCGCACGGCCTTGCAAAATTCGTGCACAATCGCGCACACAGAAGACCTAGCAATGCCAAACAGGTTACCCATCGTGCGGTAACTGACCCCCGTTGCCAGCCAATACAGCCCAACTCCTTCACGTTTCCGCACGGAGATGGGTCGCCTAAATTGAGTGTCCTGTCGTAGGAGTCTTGAGGAGAGGCGCTGACAAAGATAATCAAAAGTTGCCCTCGACATCCTAAAGTTTTCAAAAAACATCGTCTCAGTGAAACTATTAACATCACATTCCCACCACTCCTGGCTTCGTCTACGCATCCACACAGACCTCTGTATTGAATTTGCAGCCATAAACCCGCAAAAGGCCAAAATAGCCAATTTTGCTTTCTTTCTCTTCGTTCTTCTCCTCCTCAGCACCTGCTCATTAATTTTACGGCTTCCATTACACAGACATTTCGAAATAAAAGCCAAAATGCTTACTTCCTCCATAACCACACGACCATTAGTGCAACAGCGTGCTGCGTATGATGTCATTGTTATTGTCATTTTGCGCATGCGGGTTAGTTTGAAACCTCAAACAGTTCACACTGCAATCAGATATAGGTCACATTTTAAAAGGTAATGTGAACAGCCAATCAAAAAATCGGATCTGAGCAAAAAATCAGATTTGAGCATTAAGACTTGCGGTGTGAACGGGGCCTAACACAGCTGTTGGAACACAAATACTTATGACAGCTGTTATCAGTGTTCTTGTTTTCAAGTGTTCACTTTACTTGTTCAGTTTGCCCCACTTAAAGGTTCAATCTATCCCGAGGCTTAATTAGCCTGCCACTCCAGGAGTATGTCTGGCCCTGCTCCTCTCGGTGTGGCGTGCAAATGGTTTGTGATGAATGGGGTGCAAATCTGTATGGTGACCGGCCTATTAATGTCATAATACCTCAAAACAGGTACCGCTGTGATCAGCGTCTTGATCTCCTTCATGGCCGTGTCGTGCTTTTGCAGCCAGTGCCACTGTACATCCTTATCCAACAGCCTCCTCAGTGGTTCAGAGACCTCTGATAAGCGTGGCATGAACTTGGATAGGTAGTTCACAAACCCCACAAAACGCTGCACGCCTTTAGTGTCTGTGCGGTTGGGCATGTCCAGAACTGCTCTGACCTTGTCAGGGTCAGATTTGAGGCCCTTGGCCGAGAGGACGTGGCCGTGAAAGCGGACTTCCTTAACTCGAAATTGCAGCTTCTTCAGACTCAGCCTCAATTTCACTTCCCTGCAATCTTGTCCATCAGTGCGGTGAGGTTTGCATCATGGTCTCGGATGGCTTCCTCTTCTGTGTCGCCACAGCCCACTATTAAGATGTCGTCAGCTATAGGCTCAATTCCTTTCAAGCCAGCCAGGAGCTCGTGCTGCTTCCTCTAATAAAGCTCTGGAGCAACCGACACTCCGAAAGGGAGATTCAGACAGCGTTTTCTGCCCCACGGCGTCCAAAATGTAGTCATCAGGCTGCTCTCCTCATCCAGGCGGCACTGTAGAAACGCGTCCCGCGTGTCCACCAGCCTGAAGATACGTGCTTTGGCAGTTTGTACAGCACATCATCTAAGGTGGGTGTAAGGTAATGGGACCGCTTGAGAGCTTGTTTCAGGCTTCTGGCTTCTTTGCTATGACCAGATTACTTATCCAGTCAGTGGGCTGTGTGACTGACTAACGGTACAGATCCACTTTTGCGACACGACTGAAGTGTGGTGTGGAAGGTCGATAGCCAGAGAGTCAATGGGGCTGTTGAAGACATAATGGTACGTGCTGATTAGGCTCCCTTTATTCAGCATGCTCAACTTGCTGTGCTCTACACCATTCAGCGCCTCTGGAATAGTGAAGCGTATCAGACCGAGATCCTCACATTTGGAACCCAAAAACATTGGCCTCTGGACGGATTTCACAATTTCAAAGTCAAGTTTGTGTCTGTTGCCTCTAATGATGCACTGAGTGCTAAACAGGCCCATTGAGTTCATCCAAGCAGTGTTGTAAAGTTTCAGTCTGGTGAGACTAGGCCGTCCTTGGTGATAGTCTCATTTTGTCCTTGATGCTCTTCACGTTGCAGGTTGTTCCAGAGTTGAGCTGGCATCTCTGGGGCCCATTCTTGTGACCCAGACTGCCACCATCATCATCTTGGTCCTCTTCAGAGGGGGCGTCCATAGTGTGCAACTGGCGTGTGTTTTGGCCTCTTTTCATGCACACTTTAGCGAAGTGATTGGGGGTGCCGCATGAGCGGCATGCTTTCCCAAAAGCAGGGCACTGGTCCCGCTCACGTCTGTGTTGAGTGACACATTCCTACACTCGCCTGTCCCTCTCATGCTATGTGCAGGTTTGGTGGTCGGCTCAAATGGCCTGCTGGTAAGCCGCCATCGCTGTCCCTCTGCCACATTAAGGCTCTCCCCTGGCCTAGAGTTGTCCAGCGCCATAGTTTTCAACTTATTGTCCATAATCTCTGCAGCACGGCAAATCTCAACCTCCATTGCCAATGTGAGGTCTTTTTCTCTAAGCAGGTGGCGTCTCGTGCTTTTATCAGTTACTCCAAGAACAAGCCTGTCTCTTATAAGCTGGTCTGTTAAGTTCGGACGCTCTTGCTTACCGCTCCGCACTTTGCTCTATCGCTTTTATATTTTTATATTTTATTTCCTTTTATCAACTAATTTTAACTTCAGCTAATCAGCACAGTGCTCAAACGCTTGGATTACTACAAAAAAGCAGAATACTTTTATTCAACCAGCCTCCCACTGCTTACATTCCGGGGAAGAAAACACAACTTCCTACATTCTAAAGGATAAGAGAAAATGCCTCTTCTGGAATCTACTTGCTGCACTAACTGCCAGAGACTTTTACAAAGGATTGTAGTTCTTGAAACAAAGTTACTTGTGGGACCACCATACCAGACGGAACACACAACAGAGCTTTGTCATGGACGCCCTCAGCATACAGCCGGTGAGTCCCATGAATCTAGTCCTCCTCGACAGGCCATACTGAGAGAAACAAGCCGATCGACTTACAAATCGATGGCAAAAACAGGGAGCGAGACCCAAAGGCACTCGAGACATCAGATTGTCACGAGCATCACATATTGCCGCAGTAGCCTCCTCTACCCCAGATACGGCTCTGACAAGGATTGCAAACACTGGTCTCCTACCACCGCCTATATATCTTGAGAACAGATTTGAAGTATTAATGAATGAGGAATCCCTGAATGTGATGAATGTGATCGAACACAGACTGAACCAGCCAGTAGCTAACACTGCTAACTGGCACTCAAGGTCGAGCAGACAGCGGCACTCAGCTCAGAGCGCAGCCGAGCCCAGGACTCTGATAGTGGGTGACTCCATAATCAGAAACATTAGTAGCAGGGATACAACTACGTGCTGCCTTCCACAAGCAACGACTTCTGATGTAAACAGGGAACTTAAGAACATTCTGACGAAACATAAGACTGCAAATCGACTCATCATTCATGTGGGGAAAAATGATATTCATAAAGAGCAGTCAGAACTCCTTAAGAAGGATTTCAATGAAC